AAAGTCAAACAAAGTCAACCTACAACTTGGAACCATTGTAGGCCCTTAAACCAAAACACTTAAACAACCTTTTGCGTTAGTCTCATGATCAACATAAATAAATAATAATTTAAAGCAATAAACATATCATATTCTCATGAGAACTAAGCATGATTCACTCTTCACTTATGCCCCTTCATGATTATGCTTCATCACCTGAAAAACTTCTCTCTACTTGTCCCCACTACTCGCCATTAGAAATGGGTCGTCGTAGGGTCAAGGTAAAGACAAGGCCAAACAAACACACGATACACACAATCAGCAAAGCTGAGTACATAAGCGTAATAAGAACACACTAACATGCTTTCATCCTATCAACACACAACTTACCTTGTTGCACCTGTTTACAAGCATACAAACGTTCAACACTTAACTAGACCAAAACTAGTCCAATTATTTAGCTTGATTACACATCGAACGGGTTTCCTCCTATCCCGCCCCAATAAAGGGGTACCAACACGGGAGCTAACTGTGAGAGTATAAAATAAACCACTCGTAAGTGGCGGAATTCCTGCGCATAATAAATTAATAATGGAAAGTACAGCGTCCTGTACCCCCAGTAGAAGTTCTGGTTAAATATAAAACCCCATAACTCCCCTCATATGTTCATACTCAAGGTATATACGTTCCAAGAGTTTTGGTGCGTAATCTCTTTCGCTTTACGTTATTTACAAATTATTAAACTTGGTGATGACTCTTAACACAACACAAACCAAACACTACAATTTATTCAAGCAATCAAACATACCGATTTAATTCTTGAATAATTAGTGACCACATAAATTTAATGTTGAACCCTTTTTAAAGTACCTCAGTGTCAAAGACACCTTAAATGCATAGTGCGCCACAAATCTTATCCCTCGGTATTAGAAACACCTTAAACCCATAATGCGCCACAAATCCTATCCCTCGGTGTTAGAAACACCTTAAACGCATAATGCGCCATAAATCCTATCCCTTAGTGTTAGAAACACCTTAAGTGCACATAGTCACCAAAATATAATTTAATCCTCGTGTTCAAAGACATTTAAATAGCTTCTTCCTCATGCTTATAGCATCAATAAAAATTATTTGAACCATAATAAAATTCCTTTTCCATATTCCAAACCAAATTAAACATTAAGTTTAATCAAACATGCTCTCTAACATGCCAATAATAAAAGTATGGTTCACAATCAACATGCCAATATAATAATTCCAATCACCATAAATAATTCATAATCACAAATCATTCACCAACATCAATCCAATCAACAAATTCCATCCAACACCTATCATGATACTACTTGGAATTAATTTAACAAAGCCTAGCATGCTTCTATACACTTAAACTTTAATTTAGCAAGTACGCGAACGTACCTTGAATATGATCTCAAAATAGCCACAATTACACAAAGTCACTCACTTGGAATCCTCCTACAAGCCAAAATTATAAAGGAGTATTAATACCCTTCTAACACAAAATTCCAGCAATATATACTCTCTTTAAATTACTCAAAAACCCTTTAAAATAATCTGAATTTTTATTTAAAACTCTTACTTTATTCCTAATTAAATGGATAATTAAAGATCTTTTCAAGAAACTTAAATTAGACTTATATATAAAAATTCCAGCATTATTAAAACTTATAAAATTGCTGTAATTTGGTTTAAAAACATTAATTTTAATAATTTCAATCAACCACAATCAAATTCCATCCATAAACATTAATTTAAAAACCTAGGGTTTCCAATTTTTGGGGCTTTTAAATTAAAACTTAAAATCTGAAATTTATAATTGAAATACTTGTTATTAAACATCCTAAGAATCATCACAAAACCCAAAAACAATAATTAGATTTAGGGTAGATTTAATTAAAATAAGAAAAACAATATAAATCTTTCATTAAAATCAAAAACTGCCCGAAAACCATATTTAGAGGCTGAGTTTGGCCACCAAAGGGTGGTGATCACTACCATAGGTAGTATGTTTTGTTTAGAATATTGTTTACACACGAAAAACACTACTTTTTTTTTTGTAAAAATCGGACGAGTTAGAATTTAAACGTAATTACATCGCAATTAAGAAAATTACGAACGGAGAATACGCAACACGCAACCACCTGGCCGCCGCTGCCATGCTGCCTGGTGGCTGCTGCCACCGGCAAAGGTTGGTGGTGGTGGCCGACGTGTGTGGTGGTGGTGTGTGGTGGTTAAACAATAAATAATTAAATTAATTAATTAAAGGGAAAAGGGAAAATTAAGGGGAAAATAAAATAAGAGGAGAGAGAAAATTTACCTTTGGGTGTGTAGGGTTTCGTAGTGACCCGACACTACGCGGAAGGAAACCCACCAAGACCCGCCCCTTAATTAAAGCAATTAAACAAGCATAATAAACTTAATCAAACAAGATTAAGAACAAGAATTATACCTTTGACGCGTGCTTCGCTCCCAAAGAGCTCTTACTTCAAAATCCCGAAAAGATGAGATTTCCGACGGATCGTACCCTCGACCCGACCCGAGCGTCCTAAGTCTTGAAGGTTAGTCAAGACCCGGACAAAATAACTATGAGTTTTACGAATCAAAGGTTTACTTTTTTCTTAGAGTTGCCTTTTTAATTCCACTCAAGGTTGTATCAAATCCCAATACCAAGCTTGGTATTTACAGGGAAATGATCCCTTGATTTTTCATCCTCCACCAATGTGGGGAGAATGTATTTTGCTAATTAATTTATTTCTAAAATAAATTATTAAACAAAACTAATCACAATGCAACAAGTGTCAAATAGAGAGAGAAGGTTAGGTGAGGACCATGAACCTTGGGGGGAGGGGACCATTGCCTTGATCCCCAAGGCATGCTCTAAGCCAATTGGTCCCCACTCCCTCAAACCGCCACATACAATGGGCATGCTGGGCTGCTTCCAGCTAGCACGCCGGCTAGCATGGCGCTGGCCAGCCCAGCCAGCTAGCATGGTGCTGCCCAGCTGCCTCGCATGCCTGGTGCTAGGCCATGCTAGGCGCTGGCACTGGCCAGTGCTAGGCGCTGCTGCTGCTGGCAGCCTAGCACTGCCTATCGCACTACGCATCTCCCCCTCGCATCGCATCGCTAGCACAACCAGCATGCGTGCTGCTAGCGAGCCACGCATGCTGGCCGCACTGACCTTCGCATCATGCGCATACGCCCCATGCCCACACGCACTGGCACCACGCCACGCTAGCATTAGCCAGTGCCTAGCACTGCTTGTGCTTGGTGCGAGGCATGCGCACACGCACACGCACATGCATGCGTGGTGCTGCTGCCTAGCACCTAGCCAGGCATTGCACGCACACGCACCAGCCCACACACATCAGTGCGGCTGCTGTGCGAGGCTGGTGTGCGAGGATGCGAGTGCGAGGCCTAGCATCGAGCTGGCGCGCAGCCTCTCGCATGTGCTGTGATGCTTGGTGCTGCCATGCGAAGGCTAGCACTCAAGCACACACACATGGCGCGCCATTTCCAGGCAGCCAACCATGCCAGCACTTGGTGCTTGCGATGGTGCTGCCAGGCAAGGCACGCACGCACGCAGCACCTAGTGCTTGTCATGGTGCGCCTGGTGCGTCCATTGCCTGCGATAGGCGCCACATGCACCCAGGCACCACGCTAGCATGCTTGCTAGCTGCTATAGGCTGCCTGGTGCTTGTGTGGCCTGCGATGGCTGCCATGCGCACCTAGGCACCCACGCTAGCTTGCGATGGGCTGCTAGGGTGCGCCTAGGCTGCGATGGTACCTAACACACCATGGTGCGCCTAGCACACACATGATGCACCTAGGCATGCTATGAGCTAGCCTAGCCTAGCTACGGCTACGCTCATACTTGTTGCTTGTGATTTTGCGACGCTCGGTATCGACGCCCTAGGCTCGATTTCCGACGTCTGTATTCGTAAAACTCTGTCGACTCATTAAATCCTTTCGGATTAATTCGACGTCTCGGATCGGAGATTCGATTGGGTTCGACCCGAAAGGTTCAGTTAAGATTAAGCTGTAATATCAATTGTACCTGATATTACTGATCGGAAGCGGCCTCCATCTAGGCATTCCGATCACTTGACCTTACTGAAGAATTAGCTCTGTAATAATTCTGAACCCTCTACCGGAATAATACACTTGTTGGAAGGACACCATTCTTTTCAGGGTGAACTCCACCTTAGGGACATAAGGGGTATTTATACCCTATCTCTTAATCCTCCTACTTACTTCCCTTAATAATCCCTTTCCTAATCAAATTAGGATTGACTTTCTTTAAAACTTTGACTTTTAAATTATTTAATATAAAATAATGTGCCCCAATATTTTAAATCATAAAATCCAATATTTTCAAGATTATTAAATAATAAAATATATTTTTAATTAAAATCATTCTTTTTGTATTGAAGAAACCCTAAATAATTCATTTCGTATTATTTGAATACTTCATGAAATACTTATTTAAATTTGAAATACGTATAAAAATACGGGGTATTACAGGTACCCAATATGATATCCAATAATAAAAGTTTAGATTTTATAATATAGTTATTATGATATCATTCAACACTAATCAACAATAATACGACATGATCATGACCAAATTACTAATAATTACTAATCATTTAAATTATGAAGTGATTACGAAGTAAAGTAAGAGTTTAGATTTTGGATAAATAGATTTAAGTAGGAAAAAAAAAGGAAAAATTGCTTATCGGAACGGACCGGGTAATCGTTAATTTTAAAATGATACCCAATAACCGTACCCGATAACAAATTATCGGATCGGGTACCCGAACCGTTGTGGTTATCAAAACGGGTACCCTAATTTTTGGTTCGGTTCGGTTACGGTTCGGATTTTCGGGTTTTCGATTTTTCGGATAATTTTGCACTGCTCCTAGTAAGGTTACTCAAAATCTATCAAAATCGCTAGAGATGAGAAATGGTTTTGTTTCGTGTATACTTTATCCGTTGTCAAAGAAAGAAAGAAAGAAAAAAAAAAAAGGGAAAGTGAATGATACATACTCGTAGGAGTCGTAGAGTAGTAGAAAGTAAAAAGCAAAGGCTAAGAGTCGAACACCCGAACCTAGAAGAAGGTCTCTTTCTGCAGCCACAAAACCCTCCGCAAACCCCCACCATCATCGCACCTCTTTCTCTCTCATCCCCCAACAATGGCGGCTGCTCGCAGTGCAATCTTGAAGTACATGAGGCTTCCAGTTAGACCTCTCGCCCAAAACCCTTCCATTTCATCTTCCTTCAACTCACTCTTCTCTCGCCGCCATTTTTCCGATGAGGTACGAGGTTCTTTCCTCGACAAGTCCGAGGTTGCTGATCGTGTCATTACCGTCGTCAAGAACTTCCAGAAAGTTGACCCTTCCAAGGTTTTTTCATTTTTATTATCTATCTGCTAAATTCTAATTTGAGTTTTCGATCTTGACTATTTCGATCATTTGGTTAAAATGCTGTTGATTTAGATTGTTTATGTTTGTAAATCAGGTCAAATTAATTCAACTTACATGAATTTTATGTGTTATTGTGTTAACTTTTGATTAATTGGTTTTCGAAAAAATCAATTAGGGTTTTCCTTTTTTTATTTTTTTATTTATTTATTTTGTTGTTGATTTTGAATAAGTTCAATTTAGAGATCTGGCCTAAATGTGTCCATCGTAATGATTTGAAGAATTGATTTATATCGATATGCATCGAAATGGGAGTTTAAATAGCTTACAATTTAGAATCAGGGTTAATTATGATAACTGGATATGAAATCGAAAGTGGTCTGTGTGTATTTTGATGATTGTTGGTTCACATTTGTGTGGAACTAGAAGGGTAGAAGAAGTAAGAATTGTTTTCTAAGAAGCTGGTATTGTAAGTGAAATAGGAGTGCAGGTGCATAGTTTAATTCTCGCCGTGTGATCTAGGGAAAGTTTTTTCCCTGGGCAATTGACGAATGTGTAGGTTTCAAATTTCTTTCTACTAGCTTGGGACAGGCTCTGTATGTTTGCTTACATGACTTAATGATGTAGAGAGCTTCCTCCCAACTGTGCCACACCACACTGTCTTAGGTTGCCAGGGGTGGGCGTATGGGACTTGGGAATTACACAATCTTTATTATATATTAGTGAGCTGTCCAGATGGTCAAGTGTATGATGCCCTGAATGTACCCTTTGCATAGGAACAGCATATTTAGTTTTGGTTTCTTTCACTATGTATGCTGTAGTGTGGACTGCTATTTTCATTTTTCTATCGTTTGTCTTAAAAATCATAAACCATATCCGTATCATGTGTTTCAACAAATTTTATTTCTATTAGGATGTCATATTGTTAAATTGGCATATATGTTTACCCTTGACCACCCCTCATAGACTAAAGTATCTATTTATGAATGATAGATTACGTTTTTTGTATGTGTGTGTTATTTGTTGGTTGTTCTGTCATTAGGAGTGAAGGATATAATTCTATAGCTAACAATAATTTTACTTCTGTTCACCTTTAACCAAGGATCAAGAGTGTGATTAATATTTAGGAGTTTTCTTTTATTGTCTATGCATAGTAGGACTAGGGTTCATCGCTCCCATTTGGGTGATTGTTTTGAGGTGAATGATAGTTTTTTTTTTTTTTTTTTTAATCTTATTTTTTAGATGTATCCATTTGCTTGTTTAGCAGCATGCTACGGGTGACTGTTATGTTTTTTGGAATTTTTGGTATTAGGCTGCAAGTGGTCTTATATCTCTTTGATTTTGGTCTTTTCCTATTTATTCTGCGTGCCTTCAGCTTGTTTTATTTCATATAATAAGGAACGATGAGAAATCATATAGATAGACTTGGTCACACAGAATGCATTTGATTATTCATACTGGTAATATATCTTGGGATTGGAGGTATATGTTTTTGCAAGTTTGCAGTGGAGTCTGTTGGTCATGTCCCCAATGTGGAATAGTGCATAGTATCAGCATTCAGCAAATTAGACATAAGTTATTCTATAAGGAAAAGACTATGAAGTAAGACGGAATGATTATAGATATAGTATTTTTGAAAATCACTTAGGTAATCTTATTGGTATATGAAGTATATTTGTAAAAATAAATCCATGCATCTTGATAAGTCCTCTTGTGGAACTGCAGCTATAGCTTTATCAAGTTTCCCATCCACCATGAATCCTTCAATAAATTTAGAATCCGCCCTTTGCCAATTACCCACATCATCCCTATCCTTTCAGTCAAGTCACCGCTTTCAAAGCATTTAATAATCCCACTCCTTGCAAATTCCTTTCCAAAGAGGTGAATCACTACTTTTGGCCACGGGTTGAGGAACACCAACCTTCTTTCTCATGAATTTGCTATGTAACCCCTTCACCCATAGCGCATTAGGAAGAGTAAATATTCCCCACCCGAGCTTCACAAGGAATGCTTCATTATTCTGACTTATCCTCCCTATGCCTAAACCCCCATTAACCTTTAGGTTGGCATTCGTAGACCCCCAGATTAAAGATAAAAGATCTACTGTGAGGTTAATCTCTTCACAAGTCAATGTTGGCGGCTTAACCTTTTGTGATGTATACGTGGGTAGGGCCGAATCACCCTTACTCAGTCAGTCATTTTGGCTTGCCAAGGAAAGTTGGTTGATATTTCATCCACTTAATTTATCCTGAACTCTATCAACAATATATTTCTAATTTTGGTAACTTGCTCATTGAGTAATGGAACACCAAGATACTTGCCTAGCTTAGATGTAAGAGAGAACCCAAACTCCCTACTAATGGCTTGCTTATTCCTCTCCTTTAATTATATGCGAGTGGTTCATACTGCTCCTCTTCATATCAGTAGCTCCTTATCTTCTACAGTAAACCAATTTCCTGCCTGACCTCCATCCTGCCACCTACTCTCCCTTTCCCCAATAGCTATCTTTGATCTTTTTCAACAAACATCCAGATATATTACTTACCATTGTGATTCTTCCTCCTTGCTCTGGTAATCCACTGGATTGGAGCATTTACAAGGTATGCTGGTGTCTTCATTTGAAAATCTTTAGCCCAATAAGCCATTCAACTGAAGCTAGAGGAAATGCTCTATGCCCTGCTGGCATTATATTTTTCCGCCTGAGTTTCGTCACTGCCTTTGTGCATCAAGTGAATGTATGTGTGTGCTGTGAGTTATGGCTGCTAATACTGCTGAGTTCCTGGCCTGTTAATTGCAAGGAAAGATTACAACTATTAGAATTAAAATGGTAGTGTGTGCGCACTTGTTTTAAAGAGAAACAGATGTGGTTCTTTATCTGTTTCTTTGCTTATCAGACATGCAAAATGTCCATGTGTACCCAGTGTGTTGTCCAAAATTCAACCTAATTGTACCTAGAAACTGCACCTATTTGGCTGCCTTAACACAAACAAAAGTCAGTCAGTCTTTAGGTAATACTTTAATCAAGAACAAGAATTTGTGCATGTTTTGGAGTATCAAAGGAATATTAGAGATTGAAACTGCTTTAGATATTTTCTGGATTCAGGTCCTCAATCACCTGCTTCTGCTCTTTATATCTGCATTTGTAAATTGGCTATACTTGCAATTTGTCCTACAATGCCTTTTCCTTGCATTCAATTTGGTTTCAATGCTTAAGGTTCTTATGCCCTTGAGTCCTTGACTCCCTTCCAACGTCAGGACTTGTACTGGGAGGATTTGTGTTGCATTGTTGTTTACATTTTTTCGCTTATGCTTGTTTATGTCCTCAGGTTACTCCCAATGCACACTTCCAAAATGATCTTGGGCTTGATAGTTTGGATTCTGTTGAAATTGTGATGGCTCTTGAAGAAGAATTTCGCTTTGAGATTCCAGACAACGAAGCAGACAAGATCAACTCCATCAATATGGCAGTTGACTTCATTGCATCTCACCCTCAGGCAAAATAGATGGAGAGTTTGAGGGCCCTTTTTCTTTGCTCTCTGGTTTTATATGGATATTGCTTTAGAAAATATTTAGGGCTGTTCTTTCACTTTTAAACAATTTAATGTGCTTGTCATACCCTCTTAAACTTGAGGTGGTCTTTTCCCCCTTGTCCAAATACATTATTGTTGCATTTTACGTTTGTGATTCTTGTATTTGGAGACCATTTTTGCAAGGCCGGTGTTACAATGGTATCATTCCGCCAAGAGTTTAGAATAATTGTTGTACATCTTGAACAAGGTAATAATCGACTTTTTGTTCATGCTTTGTTATGTTATTCTTAATTTAACTCGTGTTTTAGCACAATGCTGCTGCTAATAGTGTAATATCTGGTGGTCCATTGTCACTTTGTTAGCCACCAACTTTGAAATTTCTTTGATTCCCTATCAGCTTGCCGTGTTGCTTCCTTTTCCCCGTTATATACTTCAGAGGTCAAGATTTTATGGGAAGACTTTGAAGTAGACTATGTGACTATTCTAATAGGAAGTCGCCCCAAGTCTTCTCATCTTAGTCTATGAGAAATTTGCCTTTGCATTTGATGGCAAATTACAGGAATACTTTAATACTTCGTATTTGTGATCATCGTGAATCATGCTTGTCATACTGTTAACTCTTAAAATGAGTTTTAGGATTTCATATATTAAGTCACGGGGTAATTTCACAACTAAACAGTCATTTAACTCTCCTCTTGTATCCTAGAAATTCAATGCCTTTGAAAACAGATATTGATATGATTGTTGCATAGAGAAATATTTAAGTTGAATTTCAATACCGCTCTTACTATAATGAAGTGTTTCTAAAACAAAAAGAAAATCGATAATGTATGTAACATAAAATCATACGAAATATGGCCTCGTAATAGCCTTATTGGATTGTTTTATACGAAGTTCTCAAATCATGAACTCTTTTACATTTATTTATTTCAGGTTGAGAAATGTGAGGAAAATTACTATACCTCCATTTTTTTTAGTTACAACAAAGGAATTTTTTATGTTTTACAAATAATAATCATTTGTTGCAACTAAAAAGAAACAAAGGTAGTAGTAAAATTTGTCATGGAAATTTCGACTTTGAATTAGTATGTGAATACAACTTGAAGGAAACTCAAGAACCCCGCACGATGTAAAGACTCAAATTCATTGGTTGCTGGCAATGTCTACATCAATTCTCATTGGCTATATTCTTAATTTCTAAATAGTTTAGGACCCTACTGAAAAAAAGGCCAAATGGCAAGACTGTAAATACAAGCCAAATTTGAGACATTTCCATAATATATTTCCTATAACTAGCTATTCTTGCTGCACACCAGCAGCAGCAACACTAGCAGTATGCCAATGGCTTGGTTTGGCGTAACGCCTTCGAAACTTGAGCTTCCATCACTTGTGCTTTCTCTGCTGCTTGTATTGCAATTGTTATGTTTTATCCATCCAGCACTCTCAGAAGTTATATTCGAAGAGCGATTCGAAGGTACTCTCTTTTTACATTTCACTTGAACTTATATAGATCATGCAGACATGCACTATGCATGAGCTCAGGAGTCCATGCATAGGGGCTTTATTTTTGTCATTTTATTGCTGTGTTTGTCATATTCGAGTCTAATTTTAACTTTTGAAATGTGCAGATGGTTGGAAGAGCAGGTGGGTGGTATCAGACTGGAAACGAAGCGAGGGAAAAGCAGGCACATTCAAACATACAGCAGGAAGATGGGCTGCTGATCCTGATGACAAAGGTAGGTATCTTCATGCCAATCAAAACTACAGTACAATATATGAAAACATCATTTATTCATTTATACCAAGATTTTTTTTTTTTGTTTGGCAGGTATTCAGACTTCAATTGATGCAAAGCATTCTGCCGTATCTGCAAAGATACCAGAATTCACCAACAAGAACAGAACATTGGTCCTTCAGTATTCCATCAAATTCGAACAGGACATCGAATGTGGTGGTGGTTATATAAAGCTTCTATCTGGATTTGTCAATCAGAAGAAATTTGGTGGAGATACTCCTTACAGGTTTGCCCTCTCACATCAATCATCCGGTTATTAGAGGTGGAAAAAGGTCATTAGAGTCGGGTCATATTATGTTCTGATCAAAATCTATTTCAAGTTTAAGCTAAAAAAATCATGTAGCATACATTACATAACCTATATATGAAAGCTTTATGATTACTCCGTATATTTGAAGTTTGAATAATAAGTAGGAAATTTCCTTATCTTGGCAGTTTGATGTTTGGACCAGACATATGTGGCTCAGATACAAAAAAGCTTCATCTTATCTTATCATACCAAGGCCAAAACTATCCTGTAAAGAAGGACCTGCAATGCGAAACAGACAAGTTAACACATTTCTATACATTCATACTTCGGCCAGATGCTACTTACAGCCTCCTCGTTGACAATCGAGAGAGAGACTCAGGAAGTCTTTACACGGATTGGGATATCCTTCCTCCGCGAAAGATCAAAGATGTCAAAGCTAAAAAGGTTAAAAATTTAACAGGATTACATTGTATGAATATTGCATAACACTGAATTATAACACTTAAAAATTATTCTTCATTTTCTAAGGCAACTGTTTTGCTTTAAACTTTTGTAGCCTGCTGATTGGGAAGAAAAAGAATATATTCATGATCCTAATCATGTCAAACCTGAGGTATAATGATTTCATTTCTCTTTAAACTGTAGTATTTTCTGCATTTTGTAACTGTTACTATTGTAAGCTAATCACTTGTATAATTACATGATCATGACTGAATTGCAGGGTTATGATTCAATACCACCTGAAATTCCTGACCCGAATGCCAAACAGGTGACTTGACTGTTTAACACCTTTTTTCTTTATGTGGGAGTGTCTTAATAAAGCATATGCATACTTGGGACCAACTAACATGTTGAACAAGTCAATATTGTCTCTTATATCCAATTAAATTTAAGCGTAGTATGTAGAAGTGGCAAACGGATCATTTGGATAAAGTTCTGTCCATATAATGATATATTGGCAATCAGACAAGTCAGTCTAGAGTAACATCTAATGTCTTGAATTTTGCTAATGTACTCTTGGTAATGGTCAAACAAAGTTTGGTTATAATTGAAATCGAAAACTGAACAACAAATCTTGTCTTGTTTGTATTTCGTGTTTGGACAGCCCCCTAATTGGGATGAGGATGAGGATGGCTTATGGAAACCTCCAAGAATACCAAACCCGGAATACAGGGGGCCATGGAAGAAAAGGGTAAACTAACTCACCATATCATTTATACTGCATATTAGCTATGATATAGTGTTTCAATATTACTCGATTAGCTCTGAAAATTCGTTCTTTTTACCAGAGTATCAAGAACCCCAACTACAAAGGAAAGTGGAAGACTCCATGGATTGACAATCCAGGTATAATCAAACCATAGTTCCAATAAGCTCGTATTTTGAAACACGCCACAAAATAGAGAAATCTAATGGGACATCTTGTTGTTTTCAGAGTTTGAAGATGATCCTGATCTTTATGTACTGAAGCCTATCAAGTATGTGGGTATAGAAGTCTGGCAGGTAGGAAACTAACCCATCAACTGTCTTGATGATCAGTTTTGATCAGTAAAAATCAAGCAAAATCTCAATTAAAATTAGTTCGTTTAACAATAAGTTGAAGAACAAGGCTTCAATGACATGCATTCTGAATGCAGGTTAAAGCAGGATCAGTGTTTGACAACATTTTAATATGTGATGATCCGGAGTACGCAAAACAAGTAGTTGATGAAGTTTTTGCCAATAGAGAGGTATTGTTTAAGATGAATGCACATACACTTAAGAATTATCTGAATTAACAGCACCTAAATGTTGTTTTTCCTGTTCATTACCATGCTAGATTGAAAAGGAGGCGCTCGAAGAAGCAGAGAAAGTGAGAAAAGCGCAAGAGGAGGAAGTGCGAAATGATCCACACTCTATTGTTTTTATTTCCAGCATTATTGGCTTTGAAATTGTGCTAATTAAACAATAAATTCATGATTTTCTGTGTTCTCTGTGCAGGAATCTCAAAGAGCAAGAGAAGAAGGTGAAAGAAGGAGAAGAGAAAGGGGTTATGATCGACATCCACGACATAAGGATCGCCACAGAGAGCGTTACAGACGGGTATGAATGCATGATTGTAAAGTTTGTTCAGTTTCAGAACTCTCTGGTGATCATATTCGGTTTAATCTCTGACACTGTTTATTCTTGCTGCAGCATCATCGCGGTGGCTATCTTGATGATGATGATTATCATGTATGCAATTATTAACAGTGGCTGTTTTATGCATACCTTCTTTGATAATCAGTCATACAAGTTAGTAGAATTTTTGGCATACCAAACAAAGAACTAAAATGTGGAATTATGGTTTTGCAGGATGAATTGTAAGGGCTGTACAAGAGTATTTTGCATCACACAGTGGCTTTCTGAGCGCATTTTTGTTCCATTATCTGTTCGCCGTCATATTTCCTGTCAAAGGCAGATATATTATTTCCTGTTCACCTAAGCATTTATGGGTTTTGAGATACTCATTCTTCTGAGAAATAGATACCTGAAGCTATTCATAAATGAAAGATTTCCGTTTTGAACTGCACATATATACTAGGGTTGTAACTCGCGCGCGTTGCTCGCGAAGCAATGTAGTGTTGCTAGTGAGCGAGGCCGAAAGTGTGACTTTTTTTTTGCTAGTATGTATACTTTTTTAATGGACATTGGAATAAACGTAAATTAATTAGTAAACGTAGATGTTGATAAATACTCGTGGAACTCATCAATAAATAGAATTGCGTCGATAAATAGAATTGCGTACATGAAACAAAAATGTGTAATTATTTAAGGAATTGGGTTTATGGCTTTATTTAGACTATGTTATGGGGTGTTATATTATTTAAATCTCATATTGGTTTGTTTATAACGATTATTAAACAAAAATGTGTAATTATTTAAGGAATTGGGTTTAAGTTAATAGCACTATAGATAATAGCGAATTAACAGGTAAGTGATAAACCAAAAAATAACAGGTAAGTGATAAACCAAAAAAAAAAAAAAAAATTAAGCTCAAAAGAAGGAATGTTCCTAGTCAATATTGCATGTATTCTAAAAAATTAAAGCTACTTGATAAAGAACATTTATCTAAATTTCAAATATTTAGACAAAATTGTAAAATAAATTAAAATAAGGAAATTTAAATAAAGCGATACATATTTGCCACAATTGTAAAAATTGATAAACAAGTTGTTTAAAAAAAAAATAAAAAAAAAAATTGATAAACAAGAAGTGTTCTGCTACACGTTTGACAACACTTGTTAGTTGCGTCCACTGCATCAATTCTTGCAAATAATTCAGCAAAGGGAACCCTACTGTTCTTCATCAATAAGTTGACCAACCAAAAAGATAATAATAAATAAATAAATCCCAAACATTCAATTTTAATAACAGAAAAATTAAAAGTAAAAAAATTAGAAAATATAACATACTTAGCATAGCCGCCTCTCCTAATATCATCCCTTGCTTTTCTTCTCCTCATATAGTCATATCTACAACCTCAAAAATAAACAACAAAGATCAGCAAAAAGAAGTAGTAAAAATATTAAAAAGGAGCAAAAAAATGCAACGAAATGTGAAAAGAGAACATATTTAAGCTAGCTAGACCCAAACGAAATGAAGTAAAGCTCATTAACACTAAGCTCGATCAGAAATTAGGCCTAATCTCGAGATTAAACCTCAATGACAAGACATGCAATCCTGCTACATGTTGCCATTGCTTATGTGGCGTCATGAGTTATAAATGGCGGATCTTGACGACTTTCTTTTTTTTTTGGGGGGGGAAATTAAAATTCAATTCCTAAATTTTCTTTGCATGTATTATCTTAACATAATGTTTTTAGTAATATATAAATTTAAAAACAAGTTTTCTGAACATAGACTCCAATTTGATCCAATATTAACTTACGAATTACAGTATAACTAGTTTGTGGCGCGAGCGATGTATCGGGTTTTACTTTATATATCAATAACTATTATTTGAACTATAAAATCATAAATTATATAATAAAAAAAAAGAGCAAATAATAACTAATGAAACTAAATAAACACTCTCACACTGATGCTTTGTACAAAGATAGCAAAGTAGGTAAGAACATAATTAAAAGATAGCAAAATAGGTATTATTATAATTAAATATGAAACATAATTAAAAGATAGCAAAGTAGGTAAGATCATTAATTTGTTTCTTATGCTGATGTGACATATTTCTAATACATGTGAAGGGTGCCACGTGACACATATCTTGTATTAGGAACACTTTTTAATATATAATAATATAAAGAATAAATAGATATAAATTTTAGTCTAAGTTGATCTGGTGTAATGCGATATGATTTGAAACTTCCTCCATTTTCTTTTAGTTGTAACAAAAGATATTATTTGTGACACATAAAAAATTCCTTTGTTACAAGTGGAAGTGATTTATAAATTGCCCATATTTTTAGTACCAAGCTTGGATATTGAGTAGGACTTTAGAAAAGAAGGCAGGAGTGAGTGCGAGTTCGTTAGAGCGCAAAATGCTGTCTCTCTATATCCTCTTTCCTATTCTGGTGATCCTATATATCATCAAATTCGCTGTTATTGATGGTAATTCTTCTTCTTTAGTCCTAAATTATGCTATGCATCTCTTAATTTCCTGTTTAATTGTGTTCAAATTCGCTCTTTGCAGCTGATTTCACCCTACATTCGAAGAAACTTAAACGCCAGGAATTCGAAGATAAGGTAATTGTTTGTTATCAATTGGGTTGTGAATTTGTATTATGCATTTTTTAGATTAGTGTTATTTTGATCGGATTCCATTGTTTAGGTTGTTTGGATTACTGGAGCTAGCCGCGGAATTGGTTTGTGATCAATTTTGATTTATTTGATTGATATTCATCAAAATTCGGAGTATTAAATCATTTGAAGTATGTTGAAATGATGTGTATGAATTGAATAACAAGTTTGAACTCTTGATTTGTTGATATTGTATTGGTTTGTTTATTTTGGTTCCAGGTTGGAGTGGAATTGATTGATTGATCACAGACTCTAGAATGATTTTATCTCACTCGAAATAATCTCCAACAATGCCAAAAATCTTTCTATGTATGACTAGTATGAGCAACTATTCGGGTTAAAATATCGTATGAGTATCAACAGTTAGCTTATTGCAAGACCATCTTACCCGTAATTCCATTAGTTGTTATTGGATTGATTGTTCATTGTTATGTTTTAAAGTTTACTGACGCGGGAGGAGGATACCATCTGATTTGGGATTTTAGTTCGTGAGTTCATTGCTTGAGTTGTAGTATAACACTAGGTTGCTTGTTTTAGAACGACTCGCTACGTATTACTTTCTCCTTTTTAAATGGATTTTGTAACTTCAAAGTACTCTCCTTAGGTTACAGCACATTTTGGTCGTATCTCCAACAATTGCTGCCCTAATCTGAAATAAATGTTTTCCCATTCTCCATGAGAAAGAGGAGGATAGGAAAATGTAAAGGCCCTAACATCCATCTCCAATGTGATTTTGAAGGGGAGGTTCTTGCTAAACAGTTTGCAAGCTTAGGGGCGAAACTTATATTGTCTGCACGAAATGAAGCTGAATTGGAGCGCGTCAAAAGCCAACTTAGCGGTATATTTCTACCACTTATTTTGTGGTATCAATAAATATGAACTTATTATATATGTTCTATCAGCTCTTTTAATTCTGTTTTAGGTAAGCATGCCCCAAACGAGGTCAAGATTTTACCTCTTGATTTGGCATCTGGAGAGGAATCCCTCAAGAAGACTGTAGAAAAAGCAGAAGCCTTCTTCCCCGGTATTGGTGTTGATTATATGATTCACAATGCTGCCTATGAACGTCCTGTATGTAATAGTTAATGTTGATACTTGATACTGTCTTGTGTATGCTTTTGAAATTTAGGTATCTCAGATAATGAGTGTATATATGCTAAGTCAATATTATTTTCGAAACTAGAATGGCTGACTGATAAAGTGATAATGACTTAGATAAATTCTCAATTTGTAAAAATTATAAGAACTTCTATATTCAATTGAAACTTGAAACTCTATCTAGAAAACACCACATAGTGTTCCGTAAAGTTTAGCTTGGAAAAGTGTATTGGGTGAACCTACCTTTTTTCCTGTAATTATTAGACTACCTCACTACCCCATCACCCCTTAGAATACAGTATTTGCCTTATGCTACTTTGTAATACATAATCTATATATCAATATATGCCCTTATATATTTCATTTTACCTATAACCATGGTTTGGTTAAATCTTTGCAGAAAGCTGCAGCTGTAGATGTCACAGAAGAAAGCCTTAAGGTATTTTTGGTCAAAAATATCATGAACAATCACAACCTTCCCAGCTTAAGAACATCGCTTCAAATAGTTCACTGTCATTGGGATATCTTCGTTTTACAGAGCTGATTATTATGTTTATTTGTATAGGCTACATTCAATGTAAATGTTTTTGGGACAATATCTTTGACCAGGTTCCTTGCTCCCTACATGCTGAAGAGGGGGAGGGGTCATTTTGTGGTGGTATGTACCTTAAAACTTTTATTATAATTTAAGGGTGATACGTTACTGTCAAATCTCTCTAAGGGAGAGGAGTTAGTGTACTAATCTGATTAATTTACATCTGCTAGATGAGTAGTGCTGCTGGGAAGACACCTGCACCAGGTCAAGCCGTGTATTGTGCTTCTAAATTTGCCTTGAATGGGTACTTCCATAACTTGCGCTCAGAGGTACTCCACTCTTCCTCAATTTAAAATCCACGGTTTATATATTCAACCCCCAGAACTTTTTTCTTTTTCCCCTTTTTTTTCCCCAAATGGTACATAATTTTGTGATGGGCTGATTATAGACTATTGCGTTATCTCAATTTCTGAAGAACTTATAATTGTCTGGTTATGCATATGCAGCTATTTCAGAAAGGAATCAAGGTAACTGTTGTTTGCCCTGGTCCAATAGAGACATCAACAACTGTTTCTACTGAGGTCAGTACTATTATTCATTCTATGGTGCATTATATCATCATATTATAGTTTGTTCATTCTATGGTGCATTATATCATCATATTATAGTTTGTTCATCTTTATTATGATGTTTTCTCTTGGCACATATCATAAGTATATGTGATCACTTTTAGCCTTCTATTTTGTATGCAAAATTAGCATGATTACTGTTTTCTGTCGCTAATATATTTAATTCCGTAATGAAAAAAATTGTAAAATTTACGTATTAAAAAAAATACACATTAATATAAATCTAATAAGACCCCATTTACATATTTTTTCCTTATATATTAGCGTACATAGGATCAAATGTTGGTCAAATCAGACAACGAAACAACGGCTGTGCCAGTGTGCCACCCCCACTAGGCAGCCGGACAAATAATTAATCACTTTATTGGTCTCTGTTCTAGTTTACAAATTGGTTAATTTGAACACTGATTAATGCTTTGCTGCTAACCTTTCTTGTTTTCCCCTAGCATTTTTTTAAATCAATGATGCAGTTAGATATCATTAAATCATTTGAAGTCACCTTGGTCCTATTTCAAAGACTTTCAGGATTATGTGTTCATGTGTTGTCACCTAGCTTTGAATTTCCTGGTTCTAACTTCTAAGTGGTCGCAGAAGCGCCTCTCTGCTGAAAGGTGTGCTAAACTCACAATAATTGCTGCTAGTCATGGTCTGAAGGAAGTTTGGATATCATATCAAGTAAGTTATTTTTTCTGTTTTCATTGAGTTTGGGTTGTCAGTTATATTGTTTTTTTACACCTCAAGATGTGAATGGTAATCAGTTGTGTAGCTGTGTTTGTCTTTACAAAGAATTGCTGTACTGGATACTTTATTGCCCTTAAATACTTATCAAATGTTGAAATCCCCTAATCAGTTAGTAATACTATTGTATTGGTCTTGGGGTTACAAATCCTAGGTAGAGAAAGGTGGCCTTTTGCCTGACTCAATATCATTCAGTGTCGCATGACCCACCTCCTCCTCTCTGGTGGGTCCTTATAGGGCAGTGGACTTAGGTTGAAGGGTTATTCGTTTGACACGTGATAGATGGATCTAAATGTCTCTTGAAAGAGGAGACTCATAGAGTCATAGAAGATTAAATGTGTTTCAATAGGGCAAAATGGTTACACTTTGCAATTAAATGAGTGCAATATACATGCAGCTGGCGCCTTGGAAAGAAATCACGTGTCTGGTTTTAGGTGAAAGACTGGAAACTAATAGTAAGAATACACTTGCATCCAGACCTTACTGTACTCTTATGCTTATCATCTATTTTGGATCTACACTGAGCACCTTTCGACCTGTATAGTACATATGTATCTTTTCTTTGCAAGAAGACATAATTTTGCTTTTGCACAATAGATATCATGCTTTTGATTGATGGCACTTATGTTTCTTCCTCTCTTCAATTAATTAAACCTGTTTGGCTTGCATGCTAAATTTTCCTTTACTTTTTCAGCCCGTGCTTGGAGTGATGTATTTGGTGCAGTACATGCCAACAATTGGCTTTTGGCTCATGGATAAGGTTTGCTTTTTCCATTTTATGTCATTGGCTTCTCACGCTGTCTTTTCTTTGTGTGGTCGCCTATCATCTGCCATGACCAAGGACGGATCCAGGGGCAGGCTGACCCAGCCCATGGCCCGCCCTATGCCCATAAACATTTAGAGTTATATATTAAATTGTTGTCATTTTATATTGGTAAAGTAGTTGGCTGAGTTGGTTTATAATTGGTATTCATTAATACCACTCCTAATGCAGGAGGTAGTGGGTTCAATACCCATAAGTAACATTTTTTTGTGGTTTTTATAATTTTATATAGAGAAAAAAAAAAAAAAAAATTCTTGTTACTTCTTACGGCCTGCCCTATTCAAAATTCCTAGATCCGTCTTTGGCCATGACACTTGAGATGAGATGATGGCTCAGTTGCTGGATGAGGTTTAAATTTTGCGTAAAATAATCCCTCAATTAAACTGCTATGATTAAACTATATGACTCCCCCACTCTTAACACTATGAATTTGTTCAATGTTTGTAAAAGTAAAGTGCAACATCCCTAATGTGTAGTCTCCCTACCTCAAAACAATGAGTGGACTTTCAGCTTGGTCCAATATCCAAAGGTTCCATTTATCACTCTTTTAGGCATTTGCATATTTTGACTTGTTAGAAATTACAGCTGCAGGCCTTGCACGTCAGAAAGTTAGATCATTTCAACGCTTGAAACTATAATACCTTATGTTTTCTGTTTGCATGTGGGATATTAGCAGGTGTGCATGTCATGCACTTGCAGATGTTGTAATAGAGATGATTCATAGCAATTGATTTAGTTTTCTTTTCTACTCACTATGACTGTTGACTTAGTGTCTCTTTTTGGAGGCCGAGGACTCAGGAATTTTTATTTTCTTCCTTTCCCCTCTCCCCATTTCATGCTGCTATTTCCTAATTGCTGATCTGGCAATTTTGTCACTGCAAGATCGGTGAAAGACGAGTAGAAGCGACTGAAAAAAAGGGGAATATTTATTCATTGGGATTGCTGTTTGGCAAGTCAAAGAAGGAATGAGTTTTTTGATTGAATCTGCAGGACTGCACCATCTTTTGCTGGGGCTACAAGAAAGAGAGGAATCAGGTTTTGGACTTGTTTATTTTGATTCAGTGTTAAAATATATGTTTGAACACTTTGGTTTCATGTACTGATGTACTTAACCAGTATCTCTATGTTTGTAACTTGTAAAGTAGACATGAATGTCTGCATTAGCACCTTGTTAATACACACAGTACATAGCCTTGATAAGATTGCCAATTGGCCATGCACTCATGTTAGGTTTATAAAACTCTATATCGTGTCTGCACGGATATAATTGAATCTCAAGACGGCCAACTAGTGCATCTGCAATGTTGGGAGGCTGCCTAATTCGGATTTTTTTAGGGCAGTCTGAGGTTATAGGGCTGGTGCACCAACCATTTTATTCACTTGGAGAGTTGGAGCTGATACATGTGGGTTTGCTACTGCAACCTTTTCATTTTATTTTATTTTATAAGTATTGTCCAGTAGTCCAATAAGGGGATGCCACGTTGAGTATTGTTTTGAGCAACGTAGCGTTGTGGAAAAACAAAAAATGTAATGGGAAGAATAGAAAGTAAAGACATTGGGTAGAGACATTGACATGATTAACAGTGTGGATTTTCTTAGTCGGGTGTTTTAATAAAGACAATTACTTCATATACATTTTTTTGTAGGGTTTTTTCTAAATAAATACGAGTAACGTATTGTTAAGCAATTGTCAAATCCTTCAAAATTAGGAGCTTAAGGAGGTTTATGGTAAATCCCTCCATCAATGACCAAATACTTTAGTTACTATCAACTCAAGGTTGGTATTTGTTTGATGAACATTTATTTTCTTTTCCTTAACCCATATAGGTTCAGTATTTCTCTTTTACTACGATATTTTTTCATGATATAATGTTGGTTTTTAAAAATGGTTTCTAGTCCTTGTATTTTGTTTAGATTTTCATTATGTATCAATAATTACAATGATTATTGTGGTTATAAACATTAAAATGTAATCTTTTGTAAGATAAATAATAGACTATGTATATTAATATTTATGTATTTTGTAATTAATGTAGATTTTTTTGGTGTAAATAGTCACAAAGGCCAATTGTGTAAATAAGATTTGAATTATTCTTGGTTTTGGATAACACCTCAAGACTTTAACTAAATTAGTTGATATTTACTATATTTTGCTCCGTGTGTAATTACTACTAATTGTTGGTCTAATCAATGATCATATGTACACTTGTATATAGTGGTTCACCAATTAATAAATCGTCGTCATGGATGATTTGACGAGTATCTTACAAAAACAAGTACTTGTATATAATACAAATCTACCAAGTGTATCAATTATTTACTCCTAACAATTTTTTTTTTTACGGGAATTTTTTTTTTTTTTTTTTTGAAGAAATATTCCTAATTGATGACATTAAGTAAAAACTTTAAACAAAATTTCTTACTCCAACCCTCAAAAAAAAAAAAAAAAAAAAAAGAAAAAAAAAAAGAACTCTATAGCAATTTTTATTACATCATTAAAAGCAATTTTAAATTTTTTTTATGAAACTTCCAATCCAAATTTCTTAATTTCAGAATTTTCCCGTCGTCCCAAATCTCCAAACCCTAGAAGACGAAAATTCAAGCCTATGAAACAAATTCAAGCCCTAGACACTCAATCCCTTCTTCGAAACCCTAATAAACCTTCAATCTTCAAACTAAATTTCCTACTTTCCCGGTAAGTTGAAAATTAGGGTTCATATTTCAGTGAAATAATGGACGAAAAGGTGGCAAAATGGATACTAGAATTCCTCTTGCGAAAACCAATTGACGAGAAGATCATCAATGGCGTACTCTCAAGTCTTCCTTTCTCCAACAAAGATTGTCGCTTGAAGAAGACGATACTTCTGCGAAAAATCGAATCAGAGACTTCAAATGGTTCAGTTTCCGAGAAGCTTCTAGAATTGCTTGAACTTATCGAGGAATTGAATCACAGAGCGGGTAAAACGGCGTCGGATTTGATGAAAAAGGCGTATTGTGCGGTTGCAGTGGATTGCACGGTGAGATTTTTGGAGGAAAATGTGGAGGAAAACGGGAAGTATTTCGAAGCAGTGGAGAGAATTTGGAGGAATAGGATTTGTAAAATGGAGGGTTTATTGTCGGAGGAATCGAATCAGTGGTTGGCGGATGTCGAAGCTGCGGTTTGGGATGCCAGTGTTTGTGAGAAGATTTTGATGAGGAATACTAGGAATGAGGCTTTGAAGGCTGTTAGAGGGTATTTGAAGGAAGCTTGGAAGAGTATGGGACCGACATTTCTTGAATTGGTGGCGTCCAAGTTTGGGTATGAGGTGGAGAAGCTCGGTTTTTGCGAGGATGGCGGTGGTGATGTTGTGGGTTCGGATAATCCATGTCGTGAATTGGTTGCTGGTCAAGGTAGAATTTGTTTGATTTTGGCTAATTGTTGGTTTTTCTTGTTGTGTTATTGGTTTTTGTTATTTATATTTATGTATGTCAATTTATAATTTTAGTGTAGCTTTTTTGATGAAGAGTATATTATGCTCTATTATTTTAGTCAGCAATGGCATTACATAGATCATCAAATCAAAAGAAAAATGCCATATAAAGAACCGGTATTTGATCGAATGAAGTTTGTGATACTTTTGTTGAGAAATGAGGCAGCTTGATAGTTTACCAAATGCCTTTAGGAATCATAGACTCATAGTTGAATTCTGTTTTAGCACTCCATATTACATTAGAGTCAATTTAATGTGCCTACAGAAATTGGAGTCGAATGTATTCAACCTTTACCCTTGTGATAACTAATACGGAGTAGCTTTTTTCTAGTGGACCTTTCATCTGTTTAATGTCCATTGTTGACTTTGTACTATACACGAAGGGTATTGTCCTATACAACTCAAAGTTCTGGTAATAGGTATTCTTCAATTGAAATAGGCAGATAAGTGGAGTCCTAGTATTGTTTTGAAATATCCTTGAATGGTTACTGTACCTTTTTTTTTTTTATGGGGGTGAAAGGGAGTGGTATTTTAAGATTATTCATGTAAGGCGACCCCAAATCATTTTGGGACTAAGGCTTTAATGTTGTTAATGGGGTGCAAGGGATCAGTGTTATGTTGCTGCCTTTATTACTATGGTGCCCTCTGATTGCCAACAGAAGTGTTGGTTATCACTCTTGATTTGTAAATAGAATCAGGCCACCAGCATACTATATTGATTACAGAGATAGAGAGAGGCATGAAGCACATCTGACTAATGGTATTGTGTTATGAGGGAGCTTGTAAAGTTGGTTTATTTAATAACCTTAAATTAGCAAGGAGTAAATGCGAACACTACACATTATCATATTTTCCAGCTCTATGCTAATCAATCGGTAATTTTACTGGTTTTGTATCTGTTTGAGCTGTAGGTGAAGGTTTTCTTCTCCCTTGTATTGGTTTTTATGTATATTTTTTTTCTTGCGAGGGAATGGTTACCATGCATGCTTAGTACTCTGTAATTGAAAATTAGTATCATATGATCATATTTTTCAGAAAGACGAATCTGATGTCTTGCAGAGCTCCTTAGATACATTTCTATGTGTATTTCTCCACTAGTTTTCTGTCCCTTTTTTTTTGAGGGGGGGGGGGGGATTTAGCCGCTATTATGACTTTGAAGCAGGCAGATGCTCTGTAATTCTGTTTTCAGCTCATGTGCTTGTTGATTATTGATCTTGAGTTCTGCTAAGGACCTTTTGTTTACGTAGTTTTGGACAAATGATGAACTAATATGATTTTCCTTCCAATGCACATGTGTCTGCAATCTTGTACTCTCTCTGTCCCAAAATAAAAACAAAATAAAAAAAAGTTTCATTTGGCTTTTGCATAGATTTTTAGGAAGGTTAATAAAATAAGAAGGTAGAGTGTGTGTGTGTGTGTGTGTGTGTGTGTGTGTATATATATATATATATATATATATATATATATATATATATATATAACCGGGTTTGGTTGATTAAAAATAAATTGAATAATTAAATAGGTAAAGGTGAAATGAGATTTTTTAGGGATAAAAATTTTGAGTGAAATGAGACTCTAATTTGGGGACGGAGAGAGTAATACATTTTTCCTTTCCAACTTTTTTTTCTGAAATCTTGTAAATTTTTCTCTTTCACTTTGATATAGGTTTCAGTATTAAATCATCTGTATTTGTTTTAGGTGGACTGCCGAAAGGTCACACTTTAGTTCGGCGGAAACATGTTGCAGTGAAGACTAGACGTCCCAGAGGTGCAAAGATTTCTGAAGGTAATGAAGAAGCTGAATCTTCTATGAATGTGGTTAACAATGTCCCGATCTGTGAACTGGAAAAAGTACAAGAAGCACTTCAATCCAATTCTTTGCAGCTGCATGCTACTGTGAGTGATTCTCATGCTGATGCTTCTCGAGCAGCTCATACTCTGTCATGTGAGGACAACGTTGTCCTGAACCACAAAACAGGCGAAGTACAAGAAGCACTTCAATCCAACTCCTTGCTGCAGCATGCTTCTGTGAGTGATTCTCGTGCTGGAGCTTCTCAAGCCGCTCATAATTTGTCGTGCAAGGACAATGACGTCCCAATCCACAAAATGGATGAAGTGCAAGAAGCACTTCAGTCCAACTCCTTGCAGCCACATACTGCTGTGATTGATTCTTGTCTTGATGCATCTCGAGATCATAACCCGTCATCTACAAAGGCAACAGACAACGTGAGTAATGTGAATGCTTCAAATAAGCAGACACGACCACCTGTTGTACATGTAACACCTGAAGTGAGGAGAGTGCAAGAAGCTCTTAAAACCAGTTCCAGGGAGCTGCATGTGTCTGTGACAGATCCTCTTCCTGAAGCTCTTGAAATAGCTAAACAAACCTTGCCTTGTACAGGTGCTGCAGGTAACCATGATACTAGTCATACAACTGCTGTAGAAAAGCATGACATGAACAGTGATGCTGTGTTACCAAACCTGACACAATCAGTAATCCATGCACCTAGAGAAACCACTGAGAATAATACCGAAAATGTAGAGAAGAAAGATAAGCTTACAGGAAATGCCCGAGGCAATGAGACTCGTACTCCAAAGGAACGGCCTAAACGTAAGTGTAGTTTGATGGAGCCCAATGGCACTAGTCATACATATGAATGGGATGATTCTGATGATAATGTGGGCAGAGGTGGGTTAAGCTTACCTCCTAGTCCAAAGAGGAGTAGGGTATCTGCTTTGGCTCCGTACGCTGAGAAGAAAAGTTATTCAATGAGAGAAAGGAAGAAATGGACCCCAGAAGAAGAGGAAAAATTGAGGGAAGCAGTAAAGAATCATGGTAGGAATTGGAAATTGATCAGGGATATATATATTGACACATTTAAGGAAAGAACAAATGTAGACTTGAAAGATAAATGGCGGAACATGAGTAGAAGCTAGCTTTGATGATATTTGAGGTCTGGCTTTTACATCTAACCCTTTGGGAGATGCTTATGGCATCGTCACTTTAACATCTGTAATCTTCCTGTTTTTGTTGTTAATATGTAATCATTTTGATATGTATATGGTTTTGTACATGGAACAAATCCTTTTTTGTTGAAGACCCTAACCAGCCTCTGAGAACTGAGAAGCTGTTGGTACCGATATGGCTAGTATACAGAGTAATGTTAATATATTATCATTGTGGCAAGCCTGAAGCTTAATTTTCAGTTGTCATATATCTCAAAAGCTTTCTGTTAAATTAGATTTGGAGCTGGACTTTTGTACCAGAAATGCTTCAGCCAAGTATATATTTTACAGTCTCTGTTGCCTCTGAATTACTGTCATCTATACATTTTAATTTTTTGAACGAAAGAGGGGATTTTATTAATTAAACAGAATCAAGTTACATCAATCTCTGTTAAGGTTAGCACGTACATAGAATTTCTTATGAGCCTGTGCTTGAGTTAGATTTTAAAGTCTTGATTTGCTGCTATTGTATCTGTCTCAGAAGTCAGAACTATCATTGTATTTTCAGATTGCAATATTTCTTTATTAGTAGTTGCTTTTGTTTCTACCTGTTAGATTACGCAGTCTCTGGTTTGCTGCAACTGTGTACCGGTTGTTATTGATAGTCTGGTACATTCTGTTATTATGTCTTTCTTGCTTAGCAAAAATTACACTTTTGTCTCCGTGATAAACATAATATGTTTATCATGGAGATAAACTTGTATTTCCTCTTTTTTATACCGCATTAAGACTCATGCTTTAGCTCGCCTGAATTAGTTGATTTTTGATACAATTGTTATACCACAATGATCAAAGTAGCGCACCCTATGGGGTAATTTATTTGCGCACGAGTACCTTTATTTTGATTTTTCATGTACTGCTAATTGCTTCTTTCTCTTTTAGCTTAGACTTTAGAGTTCTTGGCTATAGCTTGTGAGTTGTGAACTCTTGTTTGCCGCATTTTCTGCTGGACTGTTTTCACTTGGCAATTGTGTTTGACAATGACTTATGCAACATCTCAGGGGGAAAAAAACAAAAGCTTTGCATGTTACTTATTACTTTGATGGTCGAAACTTTTACTTAGACCGCAAATTTGTCAACAAACATGCATAGATCTCAGGCCTCTAGAGTTCATTTAACTGCTCTTATTCAGAATTAATGAAAATAGTTTCCATGTACTTGACTAGGCCGATAACGATGTCGCATATGATACTGCAGGCTACAGATGCTATACATTTTGCAGAAGTACTCAATTGAAGCCTTCTCCAAATACATCACTACATCAGCCAGGGTAATCTGCAGAAGATATAAGATATTATATATATATATAAATAATCATTAAGTTTTGCATCCAACTACTTGTTATACAAAATTCATCAGGTGACAACCGTGCTACCACAAATCAGCAAGTACACAAAATTATCTTTAACTACTAGTTGAAAGCATCTGAGTGTACTTAAATTTCAAGTAAGACTTAATGAATGGATCTAAATCACCATCCATTACTGAGGTGATATCTGAAGTTTCGTAAGTTGTACGCACATCTTTCACAAGCTTGTAAGGGTGGAATACATAATTCCGTATTTGCTGGCCCCACTCTGCCTTCACAGCATCTCCCCTGATCTGCTTGATCTCAGACGCCCTTTGCTCCTCAGCAATGACCAAAAGTTTGGCTTTCAATCGATTCAGAGCCTTTACTTTGTTTTGTATTTGGGATCTCTCCTCTGAACATGGCTCCAATAGTATTAGATACTGTATTTAAAATTAATGGATTTTTCAAGCAAATAAAAGGATACAGATACCTCATGCATAGCTATTAAGCAGTTGTAGACTTGTAGCTGAAATTTTTGGGCTAATTTTAAAAAATCAAGTCATCTACCAATCAAGTCCAATTTAGCTCGATTAAGACTATTTTCTTTTTCTATCATTTGCAAAGATGTTTAAGTTGGATCTATTCTGATTGCTACGGGATCAAGCCTAGTTTTCTTTGCAAGTTACAGAAATTACTATAAATAGCAAAAGGATTATCTTGATTCGACATGTAAAATAGTTTGAGGGGCAGAATTTAACCTGAGCATCGGACTGCCACACCAGTGGGAATGTGAGTGATTCTAACAGCTGTTTCAACCTTGTTTACATTTTGACCTCCTTTTCCACCAGCCCTAGTGAAACTTATTTCCAAATCTTCTTCAGGTATATCAACATTTAGTGACTCTTCTGGAAGAAGAGGCATGACTTCAACACCAGAAAAGCTAGTCTGCATACAGCATAAAAGTTCACTAATACAATGTTAAGCTTAATGCATGAAATCTGTAACAACTATTACTTCCTATTTGAGTAAACTTTGCTCTCTATAGACTTTTGTGGTAAAAATTTGTGAACTTTAAACTTTGAGCCATCAAGTTCATATAGATGGTATAAATTTAGGATGTATAAAACTCAACAAAATTTGTACTAAAGTTTTGAACAAAATAGTCATTGCTAACATATAGAGTCGATAAGGAAAGTTCAATGTTTGATGCTATGGTCTCAAAGATCATTAATTATCAAAGACAAGAGGATATGATATTGTAATTAGTGTACTTCCAGTCTCCTTGAATGAAGAACAGAGATGTGAATAGGAAAGATAACCTGCCGAAGACCCTTGGAATTAAAAGGTGACTGCCGCACAATACGATGTGTGCCCTTTTCTCCAGAAAGATAACCATAAGCATAACGACCGTCAACCTCAAGTGTTGCAGATTTAATCCCTGCTTCTTCTCCCAATGATTTATCAACCACTCTAGCCTTATACTTCTGTTTTTCCGCCCATCTCATATACATCCTGAGAAGCATATCAGCCCAATCCTGCACTGAAATACATCAAAGAATTTACAAAAGACTGGAATACGAAAACCTGGTCTAGCTTAATATCATAATTGACTGATTATTTTTGTTTGACAGAGGAGAGGATCCAAGCATAATAAGTTGACTAGTTTTGATTTACGAGCTCATGTGCAGAAATGGATAGAAGGAACAAGCTAAATTGCATGTTTGACGAGCTGATTTAACATACAATAAAGCAATTCATCAAACAGTCATCTGTTATCGTAAATATGTTACTGAACTTCCATACACTATCCAAGGGAAAAAAAACAGACAAAATAGAAAGAAAATAAACAGTGTAAACCCAATTTACAGAGAGGGAGAGAGAGAGAGAAGAAAAAAAAAAGAAAAAGAAAAAAAAACGTGTTAGGCCGTTAAAAGGATAAGCATACCTGAGCATCAGTCCCACCAGCACCAGCTGAGATAGTAATAACAGCACCCTCTTTGTCATAAGGACCAGAAAGAAGCTCTGTCAACTCAAAACGATCAAGTGCTTTGTTCAACTCCTTAATAATGCCAGCAGCTTCTTGAAGAAGTGCAGTATCAGTAGAATCCATCTCTTCAGTAAGATTAACTATCGTTTCTGCCTCTTCAACCTGCAGGAAATAATTGAAATCAATACATCAGATTACATCAGCAATATGCAAATAACATAACATGGTTGACAATTTGTATCTGTAGTATCAATGAGCTATGCAGCGTAATTCAACATATATATACATTTTTCCGGTGAATTCATCTCTTCAGAAAGAAGTGCCGGCATTAATTGGTTTGTTTTGCAGATTAATACAAGTATGATTCCCTTGGATATATGGTCAAAGTAGTTTCATAAGATCAGGTTCGCTTTAGTATTGAATGGATCAGGGAGAGAGGGAGTCAAGACCTGTGTTTGGAAATCTTTGAGAAGTTTAAGTTTATCTTTGACATCAGTGAGAGCCGAAAGAGTTTCTTGGGCCTTAGCACGGTCATCCCACAAAGTGCTATCAGCTGATTTGGACTCTAATGCTGCAAGCTCTCTTTCCAAGTGTTGCAATCCAGCAGAGACTACAATCTCTTGCACACGTTTACTTGTATTTTCTACCTCTTTTCTTAACATATAGAAATCTGCACGCAAAGTAAGATTAAGACAACAAATCATTGATGTTATTGGGGCGTAATACCATTTCCGTAACTCTCCTCCATCCCTCACCTCCACTTCTCTTTCCATTTCCTTCCCTCACATGAAGCTTTACATAATACCATAATTTATCTAGTTTACTTGGAATCTAAACCAATAATGTGCAATACCTACCTAGAGTTAACACAAGAAAATTCTAACTAAACATTATGAGAGTATCTTAAATAAAATTATATTAATCCCCATGATCAAAAACCCAACATTACAAGCACTGTATCACAATTTCTTCTCCAACCTTTACCCACAAATCCTAGTACAGAATGCCCATTCAAAAATCACCATTACAAACAAGAAAAAGGATCCAATTTAAACAAGAAAAAGAATCCAAACCTAGGAAAACAAAAATCATAATAAAAATTCTTAAAACTTAATGAGCTAAAGTCAATTGAAAATATGTTTGATTAAGTGAGGTCTTAACGTTGCGAATATGATGGTGGAGGCGTATGTATGGTGCTCACTTTGCATCCATTGAACATCAAGCTAAGATCAAAGAGCATGAAAACTAGATCCAATGAACATAAGAGCTATAAACTAAATTATGTTCATTGGATGGAGTTTATGTTCTTTTGTTTTGGTCTTCATGTTCAACGTGCCATCGAAATCTAGTCACCAATGGGTTACAAGACTCACAACAATCACAAGCTTAAACTTATGATTCAATAGTTAGCTAATAAGAATTTGATCATAACATCAGATATATGTCACATACCTTGCATTGCCCACTCACTGGTTTCAGTGCCGACCTCAATGCTCAATTGACTATCTGGCGTTGCAAATTGAACTGCGCCCATATTAGAACAAAATAAACACATTCAGATAACATTATAACATCAAACAAAATGAAAGGCTGCTTTAGAAATTTAAGCAAAAACCCCAACATTATTCAAACAAAGAACAATCCAAATAACATTCTGAATTATACATTTCTTATCATTACCCATATTTATTACCGCCTACCAAACGGGCCGTAAAAACTACTACAACAACAGTAAATACACAAAGCTTATGTGAAAAGGAAGCATAAGTTAAAGAAATAATACAAACCCACCAAAGCAATTCAATTTATAAACTCAATCAAAGTTAATACAATACACAAACATAGACAATTCAATTCATAGAGTTAAAAAAAAAAAAAAAAGATAGATAGAAATATATACCAAAAGGAGGGAAGCGAGATGGCATAGAAAGGTATGAAGAAAAAGAGGAGGTGGGGTTTTGGGGAAGAGAGAGAAAATGAGGAGAGAGAAAGGGAGAAGGAAGGTGGATAGAAAAGAGGGGCATTTTAATGGAGGTGGGTACTTTGAAATTTGTGCAGAAAATTTGCAGGGTTCCATCCATGGCTCTCACCACTTCAGCCAGGAAGAAAGAGAGGAGGAAGGAGAAGAGGGAGAAATCATGGATAAGCTTTTTTGTTGTGCTATTCTATTATGCTTTTAAACGACAACGTTTTAAACTCATTTTTACCGATTGTCAAAAAATAAAGGGAAATTGTTCCGTTTACCTTTCAGGTTTTAAAAAATGCACCATTTACCCTGAAAACTTTCAAATGCATTGCGTACTTTCGAGGTTTTTTAAAAAATACACCAAATACCCTGATCATTTAACAAATGCACATATCATTGACTTATCAAACTAAAATCATGCCCACACGTTGACTCCCTTTAAGTACTTTGTATTTTATGTAGTAAAACTGCTTAAAACCATAAATTACATCAAAATTTGAACTCTATCGATCACTCTAAATCCTAAACTTTTGGGTGTTAGAATTTGATTTATTAATTAAATTTACTTGATAATTAAATGGTTTAGCATACAGTAGCATTAAGTGCAATAATTTAATAGAATTTGATGCTTAGGGGGTCTCAATCTAACAAAATAACATTTGTTATGCGTCTAGGGGTATTTGGTGCATTTTTTTACAAACCTCAGAGGTGCACGGTGCATTTGAAAGTTTTCAGGGGTACACGGTGCATTTTTTAAATCCTCATGGGTATACAGTGCATTTTTTTAATGCTCATGGGTACACAGTGCATTTTTTTTTTAGAGTTTCACATTTGACAATTGTACAAAAACAATGAAAAAAAATTAGATATATTTGGGTGCATCTTAAGTTATTTTTTTGCTAATTTGATGACTAAATGAGCAATAAACATCCTTTAATCATCCAAACAAGCAAAAAAAAAATACTTTGGGTGCACCATACACCCGGGTGTATAGAACAACCTTCTCAATAATAACTCTTAAAAAATTATACTTTGTAATTATTATTTAATAAACTACAAATTAAAAGAATACATTTAATAAACTACAAATTAGATTTACTTTTCGTTACAAGCAAATAGTCCCAAGAGTTCGGATTGGAATTAATAAAAACAAATCAGCCAGAACTGAGTTTATACAAAACAATTGTTTTTTTCTAAAAACCCAATATTATTTAATTTTGCGATTGTTCTATTTGATTTGCCTATCACAAGAACGAAAGCACCATACTTAAACAAATATAGGATTATCTTTGTAATTAAAAAATTTATTTGATTTTGCCAAGATCTAACATAGCTACATATCTACTTATTGTTATTTCATACAGATAAAACTAAACTAAAAAAAATAAAAAATAAAATTGGTTGGTAAGATGAAGGGTCCTACCGGGTCGAAACCCTTCACTGGTCAACCTAGCCCGGGTTAGTGGACTGGACAATTTGTAAGAGTGGGGGATGATAAGGGAATTTCACTCCTTGAAATTGCCACTAGTAAGGATTGAACCTCCAACCTCTCCTTTCCACTAGACCAAGGTTGGCTTGGTAAAGAAGTATGAATCACAAATAGTAGTCATATAAAAATGTTTAAATAGTATAATATACTTCAGAGTATAAAACTTTAGTTTGGCCACAAAAAAATTTCAAAACATAAATCAACTTCATTTCATTATTATAAAATATATGAGATGTAGGTGGCTAAAAGTTTTTCATGCAGCCTCACTACATACATATGGGAACAAAATTATGTACATTCATGTACTCTTCCCTAAGGTTGGGTCACTATACATCAGAAAAGATAAACAAAAACCCATATTAATCCCTATGCAGAATTGTAGAAGCTTATAAGTCTAGAATGCTTTCTTATAGGGACTTGAGAATAGCTTTACAGGCAATTTTTTTGGCCATCTTCTTATCAGAAGCAGTGCATGTATGTTTGTGTACAACCCCATTTGCTTCAACCTCAAGTGTTATGGAAGCCACGCCGTTTTCACAAGTTCTATATTTTCTCATAGCGTAATGACGTTTTTGACATATATAATTCAACTCACTCACTGGATTTAACTTCAGAGTTTCTGGAGTGATTAGGGGCTCCAAAAGAGGTGATATACTCTTGAAAACAGCCTCTTTGTTGAATCCAGAATCAACGAAGATAGCCCCAGCTAAAGATTCTATTATATCTGCTAGAACCTGTATTATTCAACCAGAAATTACCAATGAGTAATTCAAATAAAATATAAGAAAGAATCCACCATACAAGCAATTGTAACAGAAACAATATCGACCACAGTAGCACCTAAAAGAAAATTTACAAATGAATCCAAACTACCATTAGGTATGGGTTCAGGAAGCAGAGAATGTCTACAGGAACTACAGATATTTACCCCTTTAATCTGCTGCTAGGCAATCATCCGAACTCTTGTAAAGACACGATTATGTGATTTGTAAATCAGTGCAACAGTATAAAAAAAAAAATGCAGGTGAGGATGCGTAAGGGGACAGGCATAAAGAGGCAAAACAACTCTTTCAGAAGTCAGAAGCCACGGAAATGTGTCCTCTTGATTGTTATGACCATTCCCTCATTTTCATTTCCTCTTTTCAAAGATAAAGACATAAGAAAAACAGAAGCATGTAAAAGATATAGAAGTTCAATGACCACCAGACAAGACGTAAACTTGGCATTTCTTGCAACTCACCTTAGGATAATTTGTCTCAGACTCCCATCCAAATGTTGACTCTAAAGATAAATGCTGAAAACTTGCCACAGCAGCACCCATCTGTTTGTATAGGATTTGGGAAGCATGAAGTATATGCTTGTGAAGTCCAGCACGGATGGCAGATAGAGCATAACATTCATTATTAACTGAGGCTGATCTTAGATCAGTCAACAGGCCAGGAGACATATCAGGATATTTCGAGTAAAGGTGAATGGTGATCAGATGATCCAACACCGCATCTCCCAGAAACTCCAAACGCTGCAAAAGAGAACATTTTCAGATAAACATGTCCTTTCGAAACTGAATAATAAGTATAAGATGCTTAGAAGATCATAGTTAGGGACATCCACATTAGTCATCACCGGACAGTGGTCCAAAAATTTCCTCCTATGAATACGCAACAAAAATAATCAAGATAACAATGCACTGTTAATATTTCTGTTTAAAAGAAAAAAAGAAAAAGAAAAATGCAATATGAATCACATTTATCCAACATGCCATGGCCAAATTAAAAATGTCACAAAATGGAAAGGCAACATAGCACGATAATGTATCCAAACCTCTGACAAAGGATGTCTCTAACCTAAGAATAAAAAACATAGAGAAACGAGCAAAGCAATAGAAAGCACAAGTGTAAACTTACTTGATAGCATCGAGGAATTTCAGGTAACATATATGAACCATGGGTAAGTGCTTCAACAACCAGTGAGGGGTCCTTGAATGAGTAATTCAAAATGGACTCTAAATGTGTTATGTTTACTAGCAAACGGGGATTAACAGGGATGTTCCTCTGGTATGTTATACAGGAAAGTTCCACCTCTATACCAAGCCAGTTCATAAACATCAAAGCAGGTACTTGTCCACCAGAGCTCAAAAATGCTCCAATTAGTGCTTCTACAACATCAGCAACTCTCTTGCTTTTAATTTTCCTTATTCCACCATTGTAGACCTTATAAGTGTTAGAAATAAACTCTTTATTTAGTCTACAGTCTATAGGATCACCGGGTATGATCCAATGCTTAGGATCAAAGGAATCATTGCGTATGAAACCCTGCACGAATCAACACATATAAAAATTAAACCCCCAACATTCAGAAAGGAACTTATTCATCATCAGTCGTCATTATCAAAGTAGCAAGTATGGGAATTTTATACAAGCCCATAAGCTGATGTAAATAATGAAATAATTCTTACTGGAATCTTGCGTTGGCACCCTAGCTTGGACAGTGCAGCATTAGATATAATTCTATCTTTTTTTATACTAAGGAGTCCCTCATGGTTATTTTGTTGAGTTTTAAACAGCTGTTGGCAGACAGCATACTTCAAAAAAGAATCACCAAGGGTCTCTAGGGATTCGAGATGGAATTTCTCTTGACAATGTTTAGTTGTAATTGCTTCTAGAACCTGTTAAAGCAAGTAATTGACAAATCAAGGGCAATCAGGACCAATAAAACAGTAACTAGAAAGATGACACTAAATATTTCGTTGCTGAGTGGAAATATAATCTGTTGTATAAGAAATGTGAAAGTACCTTGGTGGCTGGAATAAAAACATTTTGCATGCAGTGATCCAAGATAATGCCTCTCAAGTTGGCACTCAATAGTAGAGCTTCAACTTGATGCATAATAGAGGGAAGGAATGAATAAGTATAAATCGTAGCAACTGATATGGGCGACATGATGATGAGACATAGTTCAGGAGGCAGTTCAACAGAAGCACCACTTGGCTCTGCAACATGGAAGACACTATATCAGCCGAAAGCAGCATTTAATAACTTGAATGGCTTCCATTAAGTCATCGAGTTTTTAAATGGATGGAAGAACTTCAGGAAAGCCACTAACTGAACAAAAGTGATTCTCAAATGTATGATTCTTCAGAGAGCTAAACTGTAATTTGACTAATCTTTGAATTAGGGATTTGAGCATAATATCAAAAATCAGAAAATAATTGCAGAATGCAGATAGATAACACACCCTTCTCCCTTCTCTGCTGGCACCTTAGAAAGTAATTCTTCAGTCGGAAAACCTGCCTCCCACAAAGCAGGGCTTGATTTTCATATTTCAAGTCAATCCCATGTCTGTATCATTATCATTAAACATGTTAACCATCTTGCATGCATCCCAAAGAAACCAATTTATAAAAAGTTTGAAAAAGATACATACCTCATTTTGTAGTAACTCTTGTAAGTTTTTAATGTACCATCACTCAAACTCAAATAAGAGTTCCCATTCATGCCATCTAAAATTCCAGAGATAGAATAGATGTAACCATTATGGGGTGTGCAGACCAAACAATTTTCCAGCACACTACGATGTAAAAACCCGTTCTTGGTGTAGACATCATCTTGATGAGCACACTTGCATTTATTGCAGTTAGAGAAGGAACCTTGAACAACATCGCGTAAAAAGGATGCAGAGCTTATACATTCCAAATCGATAAGAGAGCTTCG